GGGGAAGGAGGGCGAGGGGCCGTCTGTGCGGGGTGCGCGCTGTGTTCCCGCACGCACACCCGGAGGTACACAAGCAGCTAAGTGAGAGGCGGGGCCGGGCTGGCTCCCTCCCCCAATGCGCTTCTATGTTTTCCCCACCCCTCCTCCTCCTCTTCCCGTTCAGTGTTCCTCTCACCTTCTCCTGTTTTCTCTTTCTTCCCATCGTTGCTACGCCTCCTCTTGCCGTCGCTTCCGCCGCAGTGAGTAGGGAAGCAGCCAGAGGACCAAAGGAAAAAAAAAAAAAAGAAAGACACAACAACAAAAAAGAGGATATATACAACCGCTCCACTTATACACACAGGGGTACAAGTTGTGCGGGGTGGCGGCGCAACACACACACACACACACACGCACCCAGCGAGAGCGAGGGAGGGGCGGAAAGGAACAAAAAAAAAACAACCAGAGTGCGCGAGGGAGTTTTTCCCGCGCAGTGTCGAGAGGGGAGGGGGGCGCCGCCATATAGAAGAGGAGCAATAGACAGGGAAGGGGGTGTAATCCAGCTGCCTCCGCCCGGACGTGCACATTTGATTACATATACATAAGAACGCATACATAGTTATTGCGACGCAACACATACAACAGCCTAAACTGCGCGTAGACATTAGTGCGGGGCAACACATTGATCATGTTTCGCGCCTCTCTCACCATGTGCGGCGGCGGCGTCCTGCGAGGTGCTGGTCGGGCTGGGCGAGGGAGAAATGTGGTGGCATCAGCCGAAGCAGCTGCTAGCACAACTCCTAGCAAGATGCAGAGAAGGCGGCGGGCGGAAAGCAAAGAAGAACAGAAAGAAGACTCCAGCGACTTTACCTATACCCCCGCACCGCATGCCCATGGTGGTGCTGGCAAACCGAGCAGCACGAGTACTTCTGCCGGCAGTGTAAGGGAAGGACGCGGCGATGAGGTGCTTCAGTTGGCCCATCGTATGCAGCAGCGTGACCTCACAGGCGAGGTGCCGGTAGCGTCCTTCGCCTACGAGGTGCTGCGCGCACACCCGTCGGTGCGGCAGATGGGGCTGCGTGAACGTATGTCGTTCCTGTGTGAGCGCTGGGAGCGGCTGAGCCAGAAGGAGCGGAAGTCGTACCTCGACGACCCACTGAAGGGACTACTGTAGTGGGGATGACGCGGACCGAAGGGTATATATATATATATATATATCAGGACACCGAGGTTGAGAGATGGCGGTCTCTCAGTGTCTTCCTTCCTGTTTCGAGCGCTTGCGCTTGTCCGCATCATCGCGTATAGATGTTACTGTTACTACTTTTCATATATACATATATAAGACCCCATTTTGCGTAGAGGCATAAATGGTGTCACTGAAGCTTTGCGATGCTTGTGTGATGGCAGCAGTGAAGGCTATGCGGAGCGCAGCGTGTGCGTGTGTGTGCAGCAGCGCACTGTGGCGTGCATTGGGGACTGTATTTACTTGGCTGCACCCATTTCTATCTCCGTAACGTTTTATTACTGCAAGAGAAACAACAACAACAAGAACAAAAAAGTGAAGGCGGACACCGACGGGCGTCTTTTTTTTTTGGTGGGGGTTCGTGTAGTATCCGTGCATGTGCGGAGCTGTGCGCCGCGTTGTGGCGTCGTATGTGCGGCGCTGCGGTGGTGGTGTGCGCCTGCCTGCCGCTGCGGGGGCTCTGCTGCTGACGTGCCGCCGCGTGCACGAGCGGCCGTTTCTGGAGCTCCCGCCGGACGTGACGCAGTCGGAGGCGTACGAAGTGGCACGCGACGCGCTGCTGCAGCTCAACGTGATGGTGCGCCGCGGCATTGAGCCGGATGCACTCATGTACACGTCTCTCATCGCGACCATGGGCCGGGCGAAACTCGAGTGGCAGGNCGTCCGCCCGCTGCCCGAGACGTACGTCGCGCTGCACGACGCCACTTCCCCGACGCGACGACGTCTGCGAGATGATCTGCAGATGAAAATTGAGGAGTCGCTCGAATCATTTCCGGACGAACTCGCCGAGGCAGAGTTGGCGCGGCAGCACCAGCAGGACATCCTGTGCGTACAGAGGTTTGAGGAGTATATGAAGGGCGTGCTGCCGCCCCCAGAGCAGGTTGAAGTGGCAGTAAGCCGCAGCAGCGGCAGCATCGACGCACAGCAAAAGGGCAGAAGCACCGCCACTGCCGGCGCAGCAGAGGAGCCCATTGCGACGATGCACATCCGCAACCCGACCGATGTGTGGAGCACCGCGCGCATGATGGAGCAGCAGCAGGGACGGGGTGCGTGGCGTGCGAGTGGTGAGTCTGCCGAGTCTCTGGCCGACCAGCTGCATCGACTCCACGAGGAAGAGCTGCGTATTTACCTTGCCGCGCAGCGGCAGCTGCGTCATGGCAGCAAAGACGAGTTGGTGCGGCGCGTGCTCGACACCGTCACCGAACAAAGTATTCGCGAGATGTTGGCGCGGCGTAAGCACTACTTCGGCTCCGTCGCCCAGATCTTAGAAAACGACCTCAACGCACTTCGTCAAGCGGGCGAAAGTGGCGTAAGCAACAGCAGCAACGGTCACAAGAGAAGTGGCGCCGAGACGCATCCTCGTGCGCCCGCGGCGGACCGCACGCTAACGACGGCAGAGAAGGAAACCGTCGCAGCGGAGGTGCTGCACACGCCGTGGGGCATTTTGCGGAAGCCGATGAAGCGGCAGCCGGACGCTGCGGCTCCGCGTGACGCAGAGCGACTCGAGCGCGTCAACCTCACCATGGACGAGCTGCAGTTGGTGCGTAGCAAAGGCGAGACGGGTGACCTCGATGAGTTGCCGGAGAGTCTCCTGCGCCGCTACGCATCCGAGTTCAACTTGTCTTGGCGGCGCAAGCACCCGCTCTCGCTGCTGGAGGCGGTGCAGTGGCACTGCACTACCTTCCTACCGGAGCGGCTCGATGGGAAGGTAGTGGTGCGGCCCACCGCGGCGCTGCGGCGGCAGCAGGAAGACGAGGGCGTGCAGAAGACACTGGAGAACTACGAGGCGTTCCGCATTATCTCACAGCGCACGAATAATCTACAGGTGGTGGATAAGAGGGAGATTAACCTGCACCTCAAGCGAGTGCAGCGGGATGCACGGCAGAAGGAGTGCCGCGCGGAAGAGACACTGCGACGGGAGCGGCATCTGCTGGACGCGGCCACGCTAGCGGCGTCTGCGAAGTCGTATAGGCCACCGGATGAACCGTTGCCAGCGGCGTCGCACGTGCTCGGTGTGAATGGGGATAACAGCAGCAGCAGCAGCAATAACAACGGCGAGCAGATTCCCCCATTAGGAGACACGGATGATGCCAGCGCGACGTTGCAGCAGAAGCAGGAGGAGGAGAGTGGTGAACTTCCGCCGTGGGCGGTTTTCGCCGGTGAGGAGGAGTTTGACATTTCCACTGGCCGCTTTGGCGACCCGGACATGGGTCGCTACCAAGAGCTCAGCGACGGGCGATTCAAGGTGCTGCCGTCGCGCGAGGCGCAGCGCAAGTGGGACGTGGACCGCCAGCTCCTCCCCGGCCCCCTCCAGGACGAGCTGAACCGCGCGGAGCTGCAGCAGCAGCTGCAGAAGGAGCGCGTGGAGACGGAGTACGGGCGTAGGCTCCAGTACAAGCGTTACCGCAAGTGGGACGCATTCCTGCGCAAGGCACAGGAGAAGCGGCAGAAGGAGAAGGTAGCTGCGGCAGAGGACGACAACGACGCCGTGCAACCGCTACCACCTAAAAGGCGTCTTGCGTATCTGCTGCGTAAAGGGCACGACAAGGCGCCGGTTGAAGAGGCCGTGAAGGCCAAGTACACCAAGAGCCTGTAGCGGCCAAATCACCAACTTCACGTAAATGATTGCGACTGCACAAGTGCTATTTCCTTACTGTTGTCTCTTGTGTTGATCTCCTTGTGCGCATCTGGGTCTCTGCGTATCTGTATCCCCCGCACCCACCTCCCATTTCTGTTTTTCTTTTCCGTTTCTTTCTTTCCTCTCCTCTTCCTGATGCATGGCTGCTAGTTGTAGGTGGCGTGGGATGAGAATGCCGCGGTGCGGCTGCACACACACACACACACACACAGACACACACACCCCGAGTAAGCACCGCTTGTGCGCCGCAAACATGCGCAACTAAGCGTACTCTCTTGGGGGAGAGGCAGAGACACCGGTGCGTGCATATGCAGGCGCGCGCACACCAATGAAAGAGAGGTGAGGCAGTAGGCAGGCACCTTCATGGGCACAGTTCCCGTTGTGGCTTCTGCTTTGCCAAGGCTCCTCTACTCAGTTGAACGCGGGCGCGTGCAATGTTGTGTTTTCTCTATTTTATATGTTTATACTGAACCTGATCTTGTCTCTTCTTTTGAGCTTTCGCTTTTCATTTATATTTGCTTTACGCTTCGAATCAGCATACAAGCGCAACAGCTTAACACTCAGATAGCAGCCGCAGTGGTGACCGTTGCTCTAACGGATCTCAGGGAAAAATAGAGGCCCTGGTCGTACTCATGCACAACGACATGAAACACACCCTCCTCTGCACAGTTCTTCTTCTTCTCGCCGGGCTGGCAGGGGCGCAGGAGCAGAGCGACAAGCTGTGGCACAGTACCGTCACGCTTTCGCTCGCAGGACGGTGGACAGCCGCCTCGGTGACTAACGCCAGTTTCGGCGCCGCTGTTGCCGTCGACGTGAGCGTCGCCCTCGGCCCACTGCGTGCGGCTGCATGGCCCGCTGCTGCCGCTGCTGTTACGCTGGACCCTGGCCCGGTGACCCTCACACTCGAGGGATGGGCTGACCCCGGCACGTATATCGACCGGGCACTGCGGAAGGCGGAGTGGGCGAGAACAAGAGCATACTTCGCGACAGTTGACGCGTCGGAACCGGCCTCACCGTTCGTGACGAGTGCAGTGCGTGGAGAGGGCGTGCGTGTGCGCTTTGCCGGCGCGGGCTGGGGCGACACTGCGGCGATGCCGGATGCGGAACTCACGCAACGGATTACCAACGCGGTGGCGGCGGTGACAGACCCCACAGGCACACCAGTGAATCTAACAGGGGGGCTGGCGAGCTCTATTGACCGCACGGGCGGCGTGGTATTCAACCTCACTGTGAATGCCTCCGGTATTCAGAACGTCACCCTACTGCTCTCGTCGCCCGCCTCGTACGAGGCGCTCCTCACATACTACGCGACCGCGACATCTCTGACCGACGGCAACCTGACGGAGGTGCGAAGGACGCCAGCGCTGCCAAACGTGCAGCAGTACCGAACGCAGGTGCAGGTTGTCTTCAGCGGCTCCTGGCAGTTGGTTCTGCTCTCGAACAAAACAGACGTGTTGTTAATGCTGCAGGATGTGCTTGCAGAGGCTCTTGAACTGGATCGCTCCCGCGTTGCCGTTGGAAATGTCAGCACCGCCGCGTACCCGTTCAACCTGATTGCGACGTTGTACGTTGTACACCTCGCCGGCTTTGACACAAGTAGCATTCAGCCCGCCATCGCGGCGGCG